TTTCTTTCTTTCTTTCCTTCCTTCCTTCCTCTCCTTTCTTTCTTTCTTTCTTTCTTTCTTTCTTTCTTTCTTTCTTTCTTTCTTTCTTTCTTTCTTTCTGTCTGTCTGTCTTTCTTTCTTTCTTTCTTTCTTTCCTTCCTTCCCTTCCCCCCCTTCCTTCCTTCCTTCCTTCCTTCCTTCCTTCCTTCCTTCCTTCCTTTCTTTCTTTCTTCCTTTCTTTCTTTCTTTCTTTTCGAGACAGGGTTTTTCTGTGTATCCTGAAACTCACTCTGTAGACCAGGCTGGCCTGGAACTCAGAAATTTGCCTGCCTCTGCCTCTTGAGTGCTGGCATTAAAGACGTGCGCTGCCACCACCGGGGCATCTGATGATCTTTGTTCTTTGCTTTTATTCTACCCAGTGGCCGAGGTCCCCCTGAAGCCCACTGTTCCCCAAGCCTGAACTCATCCCTCATCCTCAAACACATCTGTTTCTAGCATACATTGCTCCATTGTGTGGATATGTGCCCCCTAACCTAGGCACTGAGTTCTGTTTAACAGACAGAGGCAGGAGAATCAAGGATGGACATATTTCCGGGCTAGGCAGGGCTAGATAGCAAAACCTTTTCTCAAAAAAAGCAAGTGAATACACACATAAAGCAAAGTAACAACTAAAAAAACAGGCTGAGGATGTAACTTAGGTGGGAGATTGCTTGCCTAGTATACATGATGCTCTAGGCTTGGTTCCCAGCACTCTATAAAACCTGGCGTGGTGGCACATGCCTATTATTCCAGCACTTAAGATATGGAAGCAAGAGGATCAGGAATTCAGAGTCATTCTCAGCTACGTAATGAGTTCAAAGTTGGCCTAGGCTACATGAGACCCTGCCTCAATACTAATAAATAAGAGTAATAATAATAATAACCCAATGAATCTCCTTTGATCTCATTTATAGTAATAGAGGGTGTGGCTGGCTCTTACAGGCTTTGAGAGTCCTGGGCACATAGTATAGCCCCCAGGTGGTGGCTTTTCAGATGTTAGATGAAGCCTGCCACCTGCCCTGAGGCAGAGCCTTGGACTAAAGAAGTTACCTAGGTTTTGGTTTTGGTGAGGCCTGGTTGAGAATTAAGGCCTTGTGCCTGCTAGACAAATCCTCAACACTGAGCTACATTTCCTGGGAGCTTTTTCTGTCTGAAGAGGCAGGCCTCCTCCCTGGCTTCTATTAGAGTCTCAGCACCATGCCTCTCATGGCTCTGTTGCCCATCAACCATCTTGAAGTTCCTCCTCATTTCCAGAGGTAGCAGAAACTGTGGTAGTCTCCTAGGCAAGGGCCAGATACTCCCCACATAGAAAGCCCGGGAGGGGCCAAGGTGTTTAAGGAGCCCCGTGAAATGAGGAGCTTGGGCTGAGGGGCAGTGAGTGGCCCATGTGTCCTGATTCTGCTATTGCCACCAGTCTGTCCAGTGAGGGTGTAGTCTCTTCTCACTACTGGGATATCCCTGTGCTCCAAAGAGCGCAGGGGAGAACTCATGGAGTCCTTATTCCAAGTCCCATCCAAGGTGGGCAGAGTGAGACGCTCACCCTCCAGCACTCCTCACTGAGAGGTTGTGGGTGTTTCTGCAGGTCGGAATGAGCTGATCGCACGCTACATCAAGCTCCGCACAGGGAAGACCCGCACCAGGAAGCAGGTGAGGCCAGAAAGGTTGCCCTACCCACCACACCTGCTCCCAAGGAAGTGGGAGGGGAACCCACTTCTCTGGGTTCCCTGGTCCTTCCCTTCACTGGACAGTCTGAGTCCCTCTCCAGGGTACTAGGGGGAGAAGCAGATCATTGATGTTACCCTGGTGCAGTACTGCCAGGCTCAAGGTGAACTGGGGCAGGCAGGAGTGAGCTCCCCACAAAGGCTGAGAGCCGGGGAAGCGTAAGCTGTGTGGGAGGTAAGGACAGGAACTCTCTCTTTCTGCAACAGGTCTCCAGCCACATCCAGGTGCTTGCCCGTCGAAAAGCCCGGGAGATCCAGGCCAAACTCAAGGTAAGGAAAGCAGTGTCAGCAAACAGAGAACCTTGGGACTTGGGGTGCAGTGGGGGCTTTCTAGAAGTTGGGGCTCTTATTCCAGTTGAGAAAGTCAACCCAGTGGGCTCAGGGGCTCCCACTGTGCTGAGCCTATGTCCTTCCCGCCATTAAGGACAGCCAGGCCTAGCCTGTGGCCTCTCTGTAGATCCATGTCTATGGGTGGCAGTCTCCTGCTGGGCCCTACCTGGGATTTAGTGTAGAAGGGCCCAGACTCAGCATTTCTGTTCCCTCTCTGATCTCTGAGAGGGCAGTTCCATCCCCTCCCCAGATCCCCCTCAGTGTAAAGTCAGTTGCAGGTAGGTCTCCTCGGGAAGACAGTCCTCCAGGACTGTGGACCCAGCGCCTTTTGGGGAGCATTAGGAGGAAGTGAGCTCTCCATCAGGGAGTTAGTTCTTAACCACATGGCCTGCCTGGTCACTTGGGAGGAAAGTCTAACATTTGAACCCTTGGATTAGACCAGTAGATACATCTTGATTGAAGCAAAGAGACTCTTGTTTTATTTTTCTCAAACAAAATCTCACCTCAGTGTGCCTTCCAAGAAGTCATTCTGGTAGCCAGTTTGGCAAAGAGTAGACCAGGACCCCCCCTACCTGTGCACCAACTTCTGAGCAGCCTCTCATACCTAAGGAAGAACCCTGTACTACCTCAGAGCCCAGTCTAAGAGCTGCTGGACTGGACCGGATGACCTCACACTGTCCTGTCCATCACCTCTTTTTTTTTTTTTTTTTTGTTTTTTGAAACAGGGGGGTTTCTTGTGTAGCCCAGGCTGTTCTGGAACTCACTCTGTAGACCAGGTTGGCCTCGAACTCACAGAGATCCGCCTGCCTCTGCCTCCTAAGTGCTGGGATTAAAGGCGTGTGTCACCGCCGTCCGGCTTGTTCATCACCTCTTATCTGATGCCGGCCGGAGGTAGAGCCACTGACCTCTGCCTCCTCAGAAGCCACTCCCGCTTCCATTCTTCCAGTCTGGAGCCCAGCTGTCCTCCACACCCCGTAGCTGGGGCTCGGCACCTCCACCCTTTGTTCCCAGGACAGCTGGCCTGCCTGCAGCTGTGAATCCCTCCCTGGAACACCCCCAATCTTAGAGCTGCTTGTTCTCCATGTCCCTCTCTGGTGACAGCAAGGACAGAGTAGCTATGTTATGTTTAGAGTGTCTAGGGGACTGTTCAATTCCTTGAGATGTCTCTACCGTCCATATTTGCTTCACGGAATCATGTCTGCTTGTAACTTGAGACTTGAGGACAACAGTCAGTGGACCTTTAGTCGGGCATCAGGAGGAGCCACAAACCTCGTTTTGTTTTGGTTTTTTGTTTGTTTTGTTTTGTTTTTCAAGACAGGGTTTCTTGGTGTAGTTTTGGAGCCTGTCCTGGATCTTGATCTCTAGACCAGGCTGGCCTCGAACTCACAGAGATCCACCTGGCTCTGCCTCCTGAGTGCTGGGATTAAAGGCGTGCGCCACCACCACCCAGCCCACAAACCTCTTAAAATACCCAGAGTGTCATGTATCTGCTTCTTCTCAGAAGCTGGCCTGAGGACTCTGTCCTACTTTTGAGGCTCCCGGAACCACAGTTATCAAGCTCCGGGATGGACAGTAGGGTGGTCAGACATCCTTAGGCTTGTTGTACCCCATCCCACCTCATGGTCAGGTCCTGCACCCTTCGTGAGCCCCATTCAGTAATCTCATCTGGAAAAGGACAGGGTGATGTGGCAGGGTGATAGGTAGGTAAGGTCCCCTTGAACTGGAGAATACAGGACTCCTGACCCTGCCGTCCGGCCGCTGATGTCATCCTTACGATGTCCTTTCCCCTTCCTCCTGCCTCACATATTGAGGATGTGGTTTCCTGAGCCCTGTCATTTGTTTAGATTAAGGATACAGGAAGGGACACATGTTGCTGGCATGGAACGGATGGAGCTCTCTGGACTCGGGGTGCAGTTGTTAATCTCGGCAGCCTTGAGGATGTGGCCTGCCAGGTCACCTCAGGGAGAGGCCTGCCTGGGAGGGCTGGCCTAAAATATCTTTTCCTCCTGGAAGTACATGACTTCAGTCGTCAGAGACAGCCTTTGAGAACAAGGCCCAAGTTTAGCCACAGAAGGACAGTGGGCAAGGGCGCCCATGACACATCTCACCCACTCACTGCCCTGAGTGGGGAACAAGCCCAGAACATAGCATGGCTTCCATGTCCTCCATAGTGAGTGTAGGCTGCTGCCATGTCCTAACATGTTTCTACTGCCCCGTTGGCTAGCATGGCTCTCTCTGTACCAACCTGGAATGTCTTTGTCATTTTTTTTTCTGTGATGATAGAAAAATTCCTCAGACTGGGTAATTACAAAGTAAAAAACTAGTCATGATTGTATGTGCCTATAGTCTTATCAGGAGGCTGGGGCAGAAAGATCACTCAAGTCCACGTGTTTGAGAACAGCCTGGACAATATAGGCAGACTCTGTCTTTAAAAAGAGGGACACTTGGGGTTGGGGATTTAGCTCAGTGGTAGAGTGCTTGCCTAGCAAGCACAAGGCCCTGGGTTCAGTCCTCAGCTCCGGGGGAAAAAAAAACAAAGAGGGACACTGGGCATGATGGTGTGTGTGTGTGTATAATCTCAGTTACTTAGGGGGATCCAAGTTCAAGGCCAGCCTGGGCATTCCAGTGAGACCCAATCTCAAAATTTTAAACAAAAAGGCACTGGTGGTATAGTTCAGGGGTGGAGTTGTTTCTATAGTATGGGTAAGGCCCTGAGTTCAAGCCTCAGCATCGTGAAAACAGTGGATAGGGCTGTGGATAGAGCAAATGCAGTGGTAGAGTGGGTACCTAGCATGTGCAAGGACCTAGGCTCAGACTCGACACAAAAGGAAAAATAAAAGAGAGAAAGGTTTAAAGAATAGGTGCTTATGGGACTGGAAAGGTGGATCAGTGGTTAAGAGCCCTTGTTGCTCTGGCAGAGGACCTGGGTTCAGTTCCCATACCCACATAGTAAGTAGCTCATAACTGTAGGCACATAACCACCTGTGACTCTAGTTCCAGGGGATCTGACCCCCCTCTTCTGGCTTCTGTAGGTACCAGGCATGTGCATACTGCACACACATAGATCATACATACAGGCAAAACACACACACATAAAACAAATAATTAATAGAAAAAGGAATAGATGCGTCTGTGGCCCGCAGTCTGAAAACACAGCTTAGTATCTATCCAATACCTGAGAGCCTTCTTCCTGCATTAAAACATGTAGAAGGGTACCACCACATGGAGAGCAAGCTAGCACAAGTCATTCTTCCTCTTTTTGTAGACCACTAATGCCATCATGAGGACTCACCCTTGTGACTGCATAATTATCTTCCAAGTGTCCCATCTCTAAATAACCATCAACCTATGAATTTAGGGTAACATTTTTGAGCCACAG